TCTTGGACCATTATAAACTTGTAGATGTTAGAGATTTTAAGTGAAAAATCAACATAAGATGTATTGTTGCTCTCTATCATCTTTTTGAGTTTTTGTGCTATTTGTTATTGTTGTAGATCACATAAGCTAGGTGCTTAAATCATATAATATTCTGTGTAAAAGTAAAAGCACCCGGCAGTAGTGAACATATGGACTTAAAAGAAAATGATTTCTATTTACAAGAATAACTACAACTAAGGCCTAAGGGTAAAGGCAGTTGAGTTAGGGATGGACGGTTTACCTAACTGAGCCATAATTTAATAATATCACGTGCCACGAGTAAAGATTTGAATTTGCTTTTCTTAGGTTTTTATAAGAAAATTTTTGACCTCTGCAATCTTTGTGGAACTTTTTTTTGTATATTATATGAGTTTGACTCCCTCATGATATTGGCCTCTTCAGGCTCTTTTTGTTAAGCCACTCACAGTCTGCCATGTCATTAATGACTAACCATTTATAGTGCGGCAAATAAAGAAAAGGAAAATAAACAAATGGTGTTTTTATATGGGAAAATGATACTTAAGACAAAAAAAAACTTAGCTGAGTAGCCAAACTGAAAGAAAAATGACGAATTGATACTGATTAGATGACATCATATGTGACCCAAGTAAACATATCTGTTGGTCATTTTTCTTTTACTCTGTTCAGTTGACTTGGTGTTTTGGTTTGCATAGCAATAATTTTTATATATATTCCAAAAATGGAGGGAAACACTAGAGCGGAGGTGGGTGCTTTTAGACCTGTAAAAATAATTTAGTGTAAAGTTAATGGTTTATATGAACCCACGAGGATTGGTTCAAAGATTGCTATTTATAGTTTCAATCTTTTCTAGGTCTTTTGTGCAATTATAATCATTTGGACAAATTTAAAACTTTTCCTTTCCAAATCCCACTGGGCCTTAGATTCATCAGTTTTACATAATTACTTATATTTCGATTTTATTCTATTTGTCCCACATTTTTTAATAATCCTCATGGTCAAGAATCAAAAAGTTAAGTCAAATTGGCCCAGTACCACCAAATCCAGAGGGTCCCTACCACTCCTCTGCTTGAAATCAGGTAGTTATTTGTTTATTCAAATAAGTCAAATGAAGCAAATCATGAGTTTGGAAGTGCTGCCATTTAATCCCTATCCTCTTAATTAAAATGAAATTGAAAATGGAGATTCTTCTGAAAAGGACATTGTGTGGTTTGGCTCCTTGACTTCAGGAAGCCTCTACCCATCCTCCTCACACTAAAATATATAAATGAATATTAAAATTGTAGAGAACAAAAAGCATTTGGTTCTGTTTTGTGCTGGCTGTAGTGCACGAGCATTGGTAGTCATTACTGGTTATTAAATTATGATGTGCAAAGGTTGTTGTGTGATAGTGACAGTAACATGAAGAGAGAGTATCTTTTCCGTGCCCTTTGAATCCGGTCGGTACAAGATATTGTATTCTTTCCCTGTAAGCAGGTTCTTTGTAGTTATACGCCTTGTACGGTTGATCTACGCAATGAACTACTAGTGCATTGCAGTATAGTCTGGTGGGTTATTGGTATACTTTTTTTTTCTACACAAGGAACAGTACTCTTAGCACTTGAAAGCATGCAGATTTCTTCTAGGTCAGTCATGAGTTACAACTTGAGATTTGAATACCTTTTCTTGCACAACACCGGATTTGTATCATCCAAGGAATTATTTGGCATAATGGAGCATGGATAGTGGATACTGGAAAGAATAATGAGTGTGAGATGTTAACTTTGAACCTTGCACTTCAATGACACTTCAATACCCATTTGAATGAAATTGGGAGACTGCCTTGATGTGCTTATGTTTTTTAAGTTGTTTCATTTTCTGAAATAGGAGTTACTGATCATCTATGCTTCAGACTGGTGAAACATTAATAAACATTACGAAATCTGGAGGATTATGCTAAGGGTTTCACCAGTTCTGATGATGGCTCCATCACTTGAAGTCGAAGCATTGCCAGTTATTAAGAATGACAACTAAAATCATTGTGGTACTTGAGGGAGGATTTGAGACTTTGTCCATGTGCAGGTTTACCAACCTGATATTGTTAGTCTTGGAATGGTTGCTAAAGAATTTAGTCAAGAACATGTTTTAGCGGTGCAAGATGATTAATGTGCTTTTGTTTTGATTGTTAATATTAAAATTTATTCAACAATTGTATAACATTTGGTGGCATGTGCAAGATGCCAGGTAAATTGTGGATTACCTGTGGTTTAGCCATGTTAAATCTTGATTAGAGGACCATCACATTGCGTTCAGCCTCTCCAGTGAACACATCTTACTAGCATCTGTACTCATCACCCCTGCAGAGCAGAAAACTTTGATTGTGTAGACTGAGAGCTGCTCTGTGAGCTAAAAGTAGAGAATGATTGCAGTTATGTATATGGTTTGCTGGTGTAAATCCTTGCCTGCTTGTTTCGTAATAAATGAGATGGTTTCATCCATAAAAAGCTTAGGGAGAAAAAGACCTGATGATTGTAGCCATTTACTTGCAATATATTGATGTACAGATAATTAAGCTAAGCAGAATGCAATACTTTTAAAAGCCAAAACAGAAGTTCTCATGCTTGGAAAACTTGCTTCCACAGAATTGGAACAAAGTATTCATGAATGTCAAGCAATCATGTTACTCACCTTTCCCCCGTCATTCAGATGATTGAATGATTCTTATGGGTTTTGCTGTTCTAATTTGTAAAATCAGAATGTAATTTGCTGTTCTAGTTTGTAGAATCATAATGTAAGTGATGGGTTGGAGAAAATTGTCTTGCTTACATTACAATATATATAGGGTTTTAAACATGAAAAATTGAGGTGCTATGAGGCTGTACATTATGTTGGACGAATGTATTGATATATTATGGCTTTATGTATACTTATATATTTGTGGGGTGGTATCCCATGGGTTGATAGAAGTGAATACGAGGATGTATATGTTTGGAAAGGAAAATGGCTAAAAGAGGGGGAAAAAAAAAGTAAATTAAAGTATTAAGTGTTAATTAAACAATTGCGAAAACATAAGAAGCTTGGTAAATTAGATTGCTTAATACCTTTAAACCATATTTTTCTTTCCTTTATCCTTTCAGTGAGGCATAACTGTATGGAGGTAAAACTGATCACAAAGTGTGCTCTTGTTACTTCTTTTTTCCCTTTTCTTGTTACTAGTCAAACCTCTTTCAGTCAGTTGGCTTAATACTGAGTTTAGAACATGCTAATATATAAAACAAACAAATAAATAAGAAACCGCTAATAGCATTGCCATGTCGATTCATAATTTTGTAGATATGTACAAAAACTACACACTAATGTAGATTGAGGCTAAAATATTATGCCATTACTTGAATAGGTAGATGATACATAATAATACATAAATTTATTCCTTGTACAATGAGTGAGATGCATAGCACTGAGAACATAGCAGATGGCAAATATTTGTAGGGTATATACATCAGGAGAGTTGCAATGTTGCACTAGCCCTAGTTTTGAAGAGAATGCCCGACACCGGGACTGTGACCTGGGGCTGTGGGCCTGAAGTCATCAATATTATGACCTGGGGGTGGTGGCTGAGGCTTGTTTACAGCGTCACCTGGTGCCATTGGTGGCACTGGTGCAGTGGGAATAGATTCATTTGCATATGCCATCTTCTTTGTACCGTCAGCACGCGAATAGCTGTTGTGCTTTGCAATCTTTGTTTCTTTTTTGATCATCTTGGTGTGGGTTTGAAGTTTTGGAAATTCATTTTGGTTCCCTAACTTCAAATTCCTTCCCTCACTAGACTGAATTTCTTGGAAGAAAATCAGTACGACAAAAACAATAGCAAGTACTAACTTAATTTGTGCCATGGGGAGAGAGAGAGATAGATAGATAGAGAGGGAGACACACAGAGACAGAGAGAGAGAGAGAGAGAGAGAGGTTGATGCTATATTCTTCTATCTCCTTAGATATTTATAGAGTTCAAAGAGCCATGCCATGTGAGTTTACACAGGTCCTCTCCAGTAGGAGATTCTTCAATATACAATATACAAAGATATTAGGACAATGTAGTGGACAGCTTAGGGTTGTAGGAATAGTCTGTCAAAACTTTCTTTGCATGCCCATGCACCCATGTTCACTCGTTCCTCCTTTTTACTCTCTTTAATTATAGGTGTTAACCAACGCGAAGAAGGCACGGAGAATTTAATTTCACCATCATTGTTGCTTTTATTCTGTATAAATGGAATTAGTTACATGAATTATTTTTTTTCATTATATTCTATTATAAGTATGTCTGCTATTATTGTTTGATTTTTCCATGTTAGTTTAGGACGGCCTCTCTGTCTCGTCTCAATGCAAAGCTAATTGATTTTTCTTACTAGTGCATCAACTGTTCTATGCTATCTAAGCATGTTTTCTCTTATTTATCACTAATATGTGTTACTCCTAGTGTGTTCCTTTTATGGTGGTTCTTATTGATGCTATCACTTTTAGTCCTCCTATCATACATCTTAACATTCTCATTTGTTTTATTTCTTCTTTTACACCCTACACTTTGCTCCATAGAAAATTTAATTTATTTTTCCAAATGAAATTATTTATGTTCAATCTGTACAAAATTTGATCATTAAGCAACTATTTTAAGTGTAGCTTTAAAATTTTGAACATGGTGCGGTTGGTGTGCAGTGTGAGACTATCATATAATATATTAAGATGTTAAGAGGTTAAAATCTTATTTTATATGTAATAGAATATAATTCAAGAATTTAAAAACTTATTCTATATGTGGTACAATAAAAGAGAGATGTTCTTGAGACAAATTGGACGTACAAGAGCCGACCTTTATGTTATTAAAACATTGTTGTGTTACCTTTTTAAAAAAAATTATTGCTGTGTTTATTATTCAAAGAGTTACTTTTTCAGGCAGACAAGGTCAGCTTTCCAACTAGTAAATCTGACTCTTCTTTTGTATTTTGCAGCCTTTTGAATGTTAACCAGCTGGTTTTCTTCTACATTTTTGCTGCTACAACTAAAAAAAAAAAAACAGGGGCTAGCTCAATGGCACTAGACTCCCGCCACTGTGGAGTATGGGGAGGGTTAATGTAAGCACTTCTACTTCTGAGTATAGAGAGGTGGTTTCTTGTTTCAAATCCGTGATCTTCAGCCTCTCTACGTCTTTTTGCCGTCACAACTAAACTGTGAAAAAGTTATTTGATGAAACTGGAAAGAAAGGGAAAAGATATTGCTTACTTTTTGTAAAATTAGTTTAGTCAAAAAGATGGAATCATTCTCCGCACAATTACGATTAAGGCTTTGAGAAGTCAGTCCAGCTAGTCCTGCTGCATTGTAATTCAAGTGTCGGGGCCGGCCAATTTTAATATTTGTTGGTTCTAGTGCTATCAACTGAAGCTTCAATTCCAAATGTGTTTGATATTATTAAGTTTAGCTTGAGATGCTTGATTCCATGAGAATAACTCTTTAATATCCAACACTCCTTCCAAAGAAATCTTTTTTCAACTTGCTCAATAAAATATATAACCTGCTTTAAAAGCATGAACATAGCTGCCCAATACACTTGCACTGAGAAAAGCAGAGAGTTTATAAATTGCATCCTATCAGCTGCATAACGTTTTTATCCTGGTGTGAACTTTCGGCTATCATTTTTTACCAAAAGAGGCTTCCAGGAGCTCTAATTTTACGTTTAGAAATTGGAATTGGAGAAAAATGAGCTTTAAATTTAAATTAATATGTTCTAAACCATGGATTCCATTTGATTTCAGAATATCAAAAGAAAATTTCAAAATTTCAGCTAGGGCAAGGCATAAAACCAACATTTCAGTTCACAACTGCCGTTGAACATCAACCTGTTCAACGACGCGATACCATTTAGTGCCATTAACAAACAAACATCAAATTTGTACAGTAACTTATACAATCTACAAGCATAAAGAATCTGGATATCAGATTGGTGCTGAGTGTTATTGCATTCAAATAGGTAAAAGCAATAAATATCAGATTTCTCCTCTATAACCCCCACCACCAAAATAATCCCTCCTAGAGCTAGCTATTTGCATACTTTTCTGATGCTCCAACTTGGGGCAATCGCGGATGCGATGGCCAAGCCCACCACAATATGCACAACCTTTCACTCCACTTGCATTTGTAATTGCTTCCCCATCTTCCATTGGATCATTAAGCTCAGCCAGCACTGGAGGTATCCTCTGTTTTGCTTCTTGCAACAGGTGCTTCAAATCGAGAAGTGTCGTCTCACTTTGATTTTTGTTAATAAATGTTGTTGCTATTCCCGTCTTCCCACATCTTCCTGTTCGTCCAATCCTATGGACATAGTTCTCAATTTCAGCAGGCATATCGTAATTAATAACGTGCTGAATGTCAGGAAAATCCAAACCCTTCGAGGCAACATCTGTTGCAACCAATACATCTTTCTTGCCTGCTTTGAAGGACGAAATGGCATATTCTCTCTCTTCTTGATCCTTGCCTCCATGAATTGCCACTGCTTCAACTCCTTTCAGAAGAAGATACTCGTGAATGTCATCCACATCAGCTTTGTTTTCACAGAATATTAACACGGGAGGAGGGGTCTTCTGCAAGCATTCGAGAAGATAAACAATCTTTGCCTCCTGCTTCACATACTCAACTTCTTGAATCACATCGAGATTTGCAGCTCCAGCCCTTCCCACGTTGACAGTCACAGGCTTAACCAACGCACTTCTAGCAAAATTCTGAATCTTTGTAGGCATGGTAGCAGAAAATAGAAGAGTTTGTCTCTGAGCTTTGAAGTGATCAAAGACTTCTCTTATGTCATCTTCAAAGCCCAGATCTACCAACCTGTCTGCCTCATCTAATGTCAAATACCTACAGAGAGAAAAAAAAAAAAACCTGTTACGATCAAATTTGAAAGTAAATACAATATGGCACAAGTATAAGAAGTACAAAAGTTTGTCAGGCCTATCCTCAAATTGAACATGTCTACAAGTTTGGAAAATGCATAATACTGAAATACAAAGCAACTTTATACAAAGCAAACGGAAGTAGAAGGTAATAGCTACAAAAACATGAAGGCAAATCACAACACATACTGTGATTGAGGATCAGTCTTTCTTTAGATTTCAAATTGCTCTACTGGTAACTAAAAACATCCATTACAATAATTCAAGTGTCATAATAAGATAGTAAAGTTCCTAACATGTATAAATATCAATCTAGCAATTTGTAATAAAGTGCAAAATTAAACATTAAACTTTAGATTCAAAACATTCGTTAATCACCGGCTAATAAATTAAAGCTCTAGATCCAAGAGCCCATTGCAAACTTCCATCATAAACTGGCAATCATTAAATTAAATATATATAATAGAAATAAGAAAAAATACTAACCTCAACTACCTTTTTTTTAAAGTAAAATTGTATACAGTAAACCTCCAGGGATGGTTTTAGAGAACCTCTTTACTTCAGTAAAACCATCCCTGGAGGTTTAATCTCTAGAGAGAAGTAAAAAGGTTCTCTTAAGTAAAATAAAACCACAAGTAAAATTGTGATTGCTTTAATGAATCCTAAGGATCAAATAGTGCACCTTTTATGACTTATCAAAAAATAGAAATAGTGCATCTTTTGTGTTGTGATGATGGGTACAAGTCATCATCAGACCCCAATCAAGATGTTCTCTCAAGTCATGGGAAGGACAAGTAAGAAAATAGTGGTGCCATAAAAGAGAAGATTGTGATTTCTGCTTGTCAGGAGAATGCAGGACTAGCAGGAAAAGGTGAAGATCCAAGTATGCTGGTTAAGGAACAGAGCTTGATCAGCGAGGAAAGTGAAAATTAAACTATTTTGGACATTGACGAGGAACCACTTCTTTAAGCTGCTGCCACTTGAGCTATTTCACAGGTTTCAAGTGCTTGAGTGTAGAATCAACCCATTATGCAATTGGTATCAAAGCCAACACGGGAGTTCTACAACGCGGGTTGCGGCAACTATTGCATAGGTCCCACGCAAAGGTGTAGGTCCCCCTTCTAAGGGCACAAGGGTCTGACCAGGGGTAGCTTTCATGGATGCGTAGATGTGCTTTGTCCCACATCGGATGTGAACCAAATCATCTAAGGGTTAATAAATGGTGAGAAGAACCCCACAAGAAACTAGTCCTATTGGGTATGGAATTGAACCATTACGACATTAAGCCGAATTCTTAAAAGCTTAACTTGATGTAGCTCACGATGGAACTAATAGAGGAGATAAAAGTAAATAGCTACAAAACTGCATATAGAAGAAAACGAGCAAGACGGATTTAAAACAAGAAGTCCCCATCGTGAGCAAATGAAATTGAGAAGATGCATAAATCGTTTATGCAAGGTTATAGAAGTACTTGAGCCCTGGGAAAGTTGCATTAAGGGCCAATGCAGAAGCTGTTGGAGGAGCAAGTGAAACTCACTTTCTGATCAGGAACATAACCCAGCATTTTCAACAAAATGGTAATATGAAAACTGTAGAAAAGCCTTCTGTAAATGCTAATAACTGTCACATTACATGGGCAAAGGGTTGGCTCACAGCCTATAACTCTACAACTCATGAGACTAGGATGAATAGGGTCCAATTGAAAATCATGCAGATGCTAATGGATTTTATTTTATTGTTCAAATTTTCTGGAGAATTAAATTGTAATTCCATTCTATCAAGAGGCCCTTGGTTATTTGTAAAAAAAAATCTCTTTGGTTATTTGTAAAAAAAATCTCTTTCTAAATAAATTATAGTCTAAGACTAAACTTCAGAAAGAAAACTACAGCCGCTCAGACAACTAAACTAAGCAAACCAAGCAGGTTCTCTATCACTAGGGCCTCAGTCATGGAGGGGGAAGAAAATTTCAAACAGTGCAGAATAAACTACAACAATGCTTGGCAGGGCTTCTCGAAACGAGAAGACCATTCAATATGAAGTGATTTTTAAGAAGTCCTTCGTTGATTGTCCTCTAAAATAAAGATGGCATTTGGTGAATGTCAACCAGACAACTGGTTGCTTTTGTGGTTTTTCCCCAGTAACGTGTAACGATTTTATGATGTTACCATACTTCATTCATTTGACTAGCAGCCATAACATCATAATCACCAATAAAAATCAACAAATAACCAGAACTTTCTTCTTCATCATACGTTATTTAAAAAATAATAATACCAAATATATTCTAGACAAGCTAAAATTCCTTTTAAGGTGTTCAAAAAGCTGCGCAAAGCACTACCTATCTCGCTTCTTTTGTTTATCATATATAGAAGGAAAGAAATGTCAGGGCCTTCTGAAATGAGTTCAGATATGCACTATCCGTCCAACAAGAGATTTATCCAACTTCCAGATGCAGATTGTGCTCGATGAGATTTGAAAAGTATTCATCTAGACATAATCTGGAGCAGTTCTTAATTTCTATCTCTGGTGCAGCAGATAACAACTTATTCAGCCCCATTTTAAGTTTTTCAGCAGATGCCCAGTGTATTGTCATCTATTTCTCTAGTTTTGCAAAGGTTGATTTTAAGCTTCATAGTATAAGAAGAGTTAATGAAGTTCATAATTCCCATTATATAGAGGGGGTTATCCTATCTTCTACAAACGACCAATAATAAAGGCAAGAGTCTCTTGTAAGTACAACAAAAGCCAGCAAAAAGAAAATCTTGACAAAAAAATATGCAAGAAAGCTGAAAATTAAAGGATAATTTAACCTCTCCTCCATAATAAAATTATATTTAGTCCCAAGTCCCAACAAATGTAGTACTAAAGTAAACTCCAAAATGGTATAGGAGGATTGAAAACTAACATTAGCAATTCTACTACAGATTCTCGTGAGAAATTTATTTCAATCTCTAATAATAATTAAAAAATAAATAAATCAATCAATCAATAAAATAAATGCTCTCTCCTTCTACGCTTAGTTGAAATCTAAACTATTTAGCTGATTAATTTAACCAGGCATTCCCTTACAACCTCACTACTTTTGGCTTTATAGCCAAAACTGACTATAAATTTTGGAGTATGATTATTATCCTTGATGTTAAATACTTAAACTCCCTTGTAATATGAAAAGGAACTGATAAAATCTTAAAGTGCATCACCCAGTATAATTTCTGGCCATGAAAATGCAGGGAGCGGATCATAGCAAAATCTGATCATTTATTTTGCATAAGGTGTCTGCTTTGAGAATCAAACTGAGTCCTCAGATCTGTGGGCTAGAGTTTATAAACTACACCAAGCAATGACCCCCTACAGAAACTGACAAATCCTTGATGTATATTATTCACACAACCAACAGGATCTCTAGAAACACTGAAATATAAAGGAAATTTCAAACCTTCTAGTACAAATAAACAATTTTTTCTTTACATGAGACCCCATGAAAACATCTAGAAGGAACAACAAACACTAGTCATAGTGCCATCAATAAGATGAACACAAAATATTAGAAAAGCAAAGACGGCTCCAGACTTGGTGTGAAACAAAATTAACGTAAATTTTCAAAGCATATTTTGTGTGTTAACATAACTGCAAGAAAAAATAAAGCCCATTCAACGTAAAGAGATCTCACCTGCAATTATCAAGACTCATCTTCTTTTTTGCAAGCATATCCTTCAACCTCCCAGGGGTAGCAACAACGATATGAACACCCTTCTTCACGACCTCCAACTGCGACCTCATATCAACCCCCCCAATGCAAAGCAATGGTCTCAATTCTGGATAACCATGCTCCCTCAAGGGAGCCAGAAACTCCTCCACAACGTCATAGGTCTGCCTAGCAAGCTCTCTCGATGGGCAAATTATCAACCCAAATGGCCCTTCCCCGGGAACAATAGGCATCATCAATTCTTCTTGCAGTGCCACCATGATAAGTGGCAACACAAAAACCAATGTCTTGCCAGAACCTGTGAATGCAATGCCAATCATATCCCTTCCCGATAAAATAACAGGAAGTCCCTGCACTTGAATGGGTGTTGGTTGTACAATTCCCTTAGCTTTCAGCATCTTCAAAATTGGCTCTGGAAATCGCATATCCTTGAAATTCTTGATCGGTGGGGGTATATCTTCACCATCCACGATAATATGCCACTGCTTCCGAAGGACATCACAGGCTTTCTTGGACATCCTTCTAATTAGTAATGGTGGTTTCCATCCTGTTAACAATGGCTCCGTGTAAGTTATACCTTTTGCAAGTTCACGAACAGACATCAAAGTCTTACGATCCGACAAATGTTCAATCATCTCCTTTTCTTGTTGCACTATTTGTTCAGTGGGACTAATCTCTGGTTGGTCCCGCTTAAGCTGAGATGCCTTGATAAGCAAACTGGGTTTGGCTTCAGCTAATTTTAATTTCTCAGTATCATCTTCAAATGCTGATGATTTCCCCTTGCGCTGGAGAACTTTTTGCGCTTCAATAGCCCTACGCTTGTTCACCGGGATGTATTCGACATAATCATCGTCCTCCATTTTCTGCAGGTATAAAATAAATTTTAGTAAGATAAAGGACGGCACTAAATCTACAATGTCATTTGTAAAGACTACCAATTAAGTTAAATATGTCAGAACCTGAGAGAAAAAGAAGTGATCAAAGCAAGTAATTTCCTTGACAAGAAACTGTCAGCAGGATAAATTCAATGACCATATACCATCAAGGTAAGGGTGGATTATTAGTAAATATGTGGATAAGAATCCAAATGCAATTTGTTTTATCTCATCAAATCTTCTCTCTCCTTGTTTTCTCTGTCCTGTCCATTTCACTTTTTCAACTCCACCTTCATGCACCACAATTCCAACATTTATGCACCAAACAATAACAGCAACAGCATTTATTACAACCCATCTAATATCTTCAAACAGGAATCTAAACACATGTTTCGGATGCTATATGGCTCGAAATAGTGTAATCTCTAAGCTAGGAGAAAGTCGACGGTCGAACACATATGACGAATTGAGTGAGAGTTAATGTCATCATGACATCAATCCTCCCTCGTATAAATCAGTCAAAGTTGTCCGACTTTCGAATTCCAAATTATCATTCTTATTATAAAATAAATAAGAAAAAAAAATAAAGCTCAAACCCTAATTAATTAATAACTAAGCCATGACCTAGTCAAAGTAAAATAAAATGCAGACAGTCTTACAGGGATTTGGTTTGGTTTTCACGTGATTGCCATAAACCAACTTGCAACACAAAAACCATTTACTTTAGTGGGAAAAAATGGTTTAAAATAATCATTACTCTTTTCCAATCCACAAAGGGTTAGAAAAAAAGGATTAGGAGGAGAACAGAATTAATAATTATTCTACTTTTTCTTTTTCTTTTTTTCCCTTTTTTCATGCCCAGATTCAAATTTTCTTGTAGACATAATTGACAAAAAAAAAAAAAAAAAAACAGAAATAGAAGTTATAGAAATAAAAAAATATTTGTTTTGCTGATATAAAATATAGATTACCTCAATGCAATGCAATGCAATGAATTGATTTAGGTTGCTGAAATAAAATATAGATATCACCTCAATGCAAAGCAAAAAAAGTGGTTCATAATTGTTTGACTAAAATCAACAATGTTTGATTCTTCCCATATTTTCCTTAACCTAATTAATCAGAAAAAAGAATGGAGGTTTTAGTCTGATTCTCCATTTTGATTCTCTTTAATTTTTTTTATTTTTTTATCACATAAGCAATAATTGACCGCAAATATTTGGAAAAAAAAAAAAAAAAAACCTTGGTAATTTTCCTTATTGTTCATCAGTACTGTTTTTATGATTTTATCGTACTATATATAATATCTATATACTTGGAACACAACCATTTATACTTGGACATATAATTATATAAATAGCAATCCTAGCAAGGCTGAGATCTTCATAATCAGAAAAAGAATGGAGGTTTTAGTCTGTACGGAAGATTGAATTCTTGATTATCCAATTTACCCTGCCTTTTTTGTTCTAAGCCTCTAAGGTAAGGGGAAAATCCCTATTTCAAGCGTCCCATAAATTTTCAAAATTCTATAATCAACCAGAACTATGCAATTAGATTCAAATTGATCAAAAGGGAGATAAAGGATTCCATAAACACACGGAATCAAGAAAAAGAAAAAAAAAAATCAATTTCAGATTCGAAAAAGCCAAAAAGGAACCCCGTACCATAAATTGGATGAGTTATTTGTAATATTTTCGGCGCTGCTCCGGATGAAACTGAAGCTAATCTCCCAAACCCTAAACCCAAATCTTTATCCTTCGACTTCGAGCCTTCTGGTCAGTTTGGTGCAATGGAAAAGGGAGGAAAGGAAAGGAAAGGTGATGGGTGATTAAAAATTTGTGTTTGGCATAAATGGTTGGAAGGAAAGGAAAGGGAAGGTTTCGGAAGGATATCACAAGCTTTGAACAGTAATTTTCTTATCCTCCAAAAAATGGGAGGAAATGGAAGGAAAGGGAAGGCTAGGGTTGATGAATTATTTCTGATGCCAAATTTAACCTTACACAAAATCAAAGATTACACTTGATTTTAGGATTTAGTTTGCAAAACAAGAATTACAGACCTTGATTGGTTGATTTAGAAAAAAAATTAAAACAAAACCCATACATACAATACAAGTTAGCAGTTGCAGAGAGAGAGGGGGAAACCTTGAGAGTTGAGAGACAGCGGCTGAGGCGAACCCGAACTGGAACAGTGGGCGACGGAAACTGAAAGATATGGGTTTTGATTTTTGGAACAATCTGAGATGATATGCCGATATGGGTTTTGATAGGTAATGGGATTTGCACTTTTGATTCTTGCAGACAGATAGATAAACTGAAATATATGGGTTTTGAACTTTTGATTCTTGTAGATTTTGTAGTTGCAGAGAGAGAGAGAGAGAGAGAGAGAGAGAGAGAGAATTTCAGAGTTGAGAACGAGAATAGAGATGGAGGCGATTGGGGAGGCTGAAATTATTTGCCCTAAAATTAGTATATATTTTTCTTGGCGGCCCATCATACATGGGCCTATAATTTTTGAGGCCCATAAATTTATCTTTTTAAAATATAAAAAGGTATATTAATAAATTTATTAAAATACTTTTCTTTTCCATTCTTTTCTTAAACATGATCATTATTATTATTATTATTATTATTATTATTTTTATTTTTATTTTTATTTTTTTCCTTCATTAATCAATCAAATACAATATGGATTAAAATTATAATTCCCTTCTTTTTTTCTTTCTTTCCATTTCTTTTATAACTAATGTTATCTTTGCTGACAGGAGCCCTAGAACAAAGATCGTTTTTTCATTTTTTTTTTCTTGAGGGTAAAGAAAATCAGTGGCTAAAACAGCAAACTGAACAAAATTGGGCCCATAAACCCAAACGTTTTATTTCTATTATGGGCCCAACACTTTTTCTTTCTGTATCAGTATTTTTTTTTTTGGGCCAAATTTTGATGCCTATAATAATAACTTAATAAGTATATTGGTTGGGCCAAATTTTAAGGCCCCCAAAATTTGGAGGCCCTAGGCGACAGCCTGGGCCGCCTAGGCCCACGGCCGGCCCATGTGTTAAGTATTGAACATAGCAAAGAAAGCACTCCCTTTTCTTTTCATTTATCTTTCTCCACAACAAACTTATTGGACCTTTTTTTTTTTTTTTTTTTGATATATTGGATTTGGTTGGTCAACTCCCTCCACTTTGGAATTCCTCTCTCTCTCTCTCTCTCACACACACACACAAACACACACAAAAAGTCTAAGCTTGAAAAACCTAACATAATCAAGTATTACCGTGCAAGTACCAAATTGTATATAAATTGATGAGTCAAGTTGAAGAACAGAAATAAAAATAAAAAATGGTTGAGGCTTGCAAGTTAGACAAAACAAAATTTTAATTAATTCAACTTCTAAAAAATCAGAATATGCATAAGATCACTACGTGTCATATCATTCAAAGTACATACTTAGTCTTAATTTCGTTTTAGATCAGTCCATTTCAAGACCTTGTTGACTACATGCTTTAAGTAAATTTTTCTTTACTAATCTGGTGTAGTATATTCCTATAATCCTATTACTTAATTGCATTTAGTATATATATGTTTCTTGCAGGGCTTACTTACATTCAGAGTATTTTAATTTTTTCTTCTGAAATTATTTTACTTTCATTTTTTGCTTACAGATTTCTTGTTCCTCGTATATCACTGGATTAATTAGACTTCGTCCACTATATGAGGAAAATTTATCTTTCTTTCTTCTAAAAAAAATATTTGTGAATAGTAGTGAAGATCATTAAGCATGTGAAAACGTCTTAGTTTCGTGAAGCAGATATGAAAAATTAGATTCATGTTGACAAGTTTTGTTGATCCTACACTAGGAGAAGGAGATAGACATGCAGGGCAGGTATAATGTACGGGCGTGCGCTTGTCCATTTACTCAAAAATTTAAGTTACCGCGTACTGCTGCATATCCATCCATTTATATCCCAATCACTTTTTCATCCGGATTTGATATTGGGTAAATGATCCTTGTTACGTTCTCCCCCTCCCGAACCCAAGCAACGCCCTCGTTGCGGTCGGATCACCCTGCCTATTCGGGGTTAAAAAACCTGGATGCCTTCCTTTGCCGGGCGCTTGACGTGACACCGGATTAATGATTGGGTCTGGCTCTGATATCAATTGTAATAGGTGGACGTTTACCTATTTACCTAAAAGCTCAAGATGTTAAGTAGTATTGCATATCCATCCATTTATACCTAATCACTTTTCCATTCGAATCCGATACGAGACAAATGACTCTTCTTATAGCAAGCCTAAACATCTTTCAATTTGTTTATAATATGTATAGATTAATCAATACACATAGTAATCAAAATATTCTATAATTTTTATGATTTCAGTAGACCAATTAATTAATGATCCTTATTGAAAAACTAGGAAATTAAGATATGCAATAACATTATATTTATGTTAAATTAAGCCATGATGACTTCTTCTTGAAATGAAAGAACCGAAATATTGTTGGCTATATTTTATTTGATCTCTTCTATCACAAGTTAATTAGATAATAAACATTAACAGCAATAAATGTATAAATAAACAAGAATATAGTGGAAAGTAATACACGACATCTATCAACTAATAAGATCATACCATCTTTTACAAGAAAAGTTGAAACTCAGAAGATCATTTTGACGTTCAACAGGAGGGTGTGGTTAATTTAGATGAGTTGTTGGCTTCTATTAACAAGAAATATATGACTGGGATCTTATTTTCTTTCTTCTTCTTCTTTTTTTTTTTTTTTTTAACTGAACTGTGCCAACTACTAGTCTCTGCAAGTTGATATTACTGTTTTTTTTCCTTCTAATGTGAGTTGATAAATATTTATTTATTCATTTAATTGCGTGTGTAGTGATGTACAAGCTAGGGGGTGGCTAGTTTTGCATCACGTACCATCATCTCGTGACCAAAAAACTTTTATACAAGAAAAATTCTAAATTGCAGTGCGGTCGTTTATCCATTCAAAGTTATCATTATTATTATTATTATTTCAATGGAATGGATTAAAATTTGTTTCTTCCAACAAAGTTTATGTATATATATACACTACTGATGTGATCAACTTCGACTCATTCGACTCTATCTTCTTAAAAACATTACATGCATATTCTCTCTGAGCTTCTTAAAAATATTACATATTCTCTCTGTGCTTCTTGAAAACTTTACATATTCTATATATATATATATATATATATATATATATTATTCTATATATATATATATATATATATATATTAACGTGCTAAAGTACGTATTAATGGAGAAAACAACATCATCCATACAAATTAGACCTCCGTGTTATGGGAATCTTATAACAATTCTTAGCATTGATGGAGGAGGAATTAGAGGAATCATTCCCGGAGTTATCCTCGCGTACTTGGAATCACAACTACAGGTACGTACGTAGCAATTCAAAGTACTTACATCCATGAAAATTCTATATACAAAGAAAAGCTAGCTACGTACATATTATAAATATATATCCTTTAATTATGTTCAAAACCATATTAGTCTTAATAAATATAGCTTTATGTTTTGATTCTAACTTGGAAGACTACATTTGGCGGTGATTAGGAGCTCGATGGTGAGGATGCAAGACTAGCAGATTACTTCGATGTGATTTCGGGAACAAGCACAGGCGGTCTCATTACGGCCATGTTAACAGCACCAAATGAAAATAAACGACCTCTATACGCTGCCAATGAAATAACGCCGTTTTATCTTAAGCAAAGCCCTCAAATTTTCCGACAAACAAGGTAAAATTGATCGAACTGAAACTCTGACATGAAATTTTGATTCTATGCAAATCAGAAGTATTAATTTTAGTGCATGCTAAATTTCCCTTGACATTAACATTCCCATCAATTATGATGATGCCAAAATTTAAGGTAACTTGAAAAGTGGCAAGACTGAAGATGAAAAATTCTAAATTATCTCATGAATACGGTACTCCATGTCTCCTAGTCATTGAATGTAACAGTAAGACCCATATGATGAATGATCTAACCGTTGGGAGAACTCGGGTACGGTACTATGATATTGAAAAGTGTGATGGCACATTAATTAATGTAATATGGTACTAAACTTCCTAATTATATATTCACGTCAGTTTGAGCAATGCATGCAACAAAAATATTTCTGGAATCTGGGTTGAACAGCATCGCTGTTGTGGAAAATTACTCCGTTTGATGCAATAGAAACTAAGTCATTTCCTTATCTTCCAAGGGAAAAAAAAATCTAAAACATTCTTTTTTCTATTGGATCACAGAGGAATTTTTGCTTCGGTAATGAATCTAGTAAAAGCTTTAGTTGGACCCAAATATGATGGGAAGTACCTTCACAAGCTGTTAAGGGGCATATTGGGGGGCACAAGGTTGCACCAGACCTTGACTAGTGTTGTTATTCCAACGTTTGACATCAAGAATCTCCAGCCTACCATATTCAGCTCATACCAGGTTCTCTTTCTCTCTCTCTCTCACACACACACACACACACACGCATACTTAGTGTGACCGAACGAAAAATTATTACTTGGTGGTGGACTAATCAACACTTAATATATCAATAAATGTGTCAGAATTGTAGAAGCTTAATTTATTTAATTTTTTGTTGATTGACCAGAATCAATAGTTCCGAATCATGTAATAATTTCTCGCAGACACAATTTAAAGAAAATCAACACATATATTTCTGTTTTATTTATGATTTTTTGTTTACTTATAATATATAAAATCAAATGACAAACCACTGCATGCATGGACTATTAGCTAGCATGCATTAGCTATGAAACTTATCAGAAGCTGTTAGGTGGTTTATTTGGGTTACTAGTTGATAGGAAGCGTGGTGTACACTTTATCTTAATTTAGCCAAGTCAACTTCAAATATTTTGCGGGTATTTTGGCACATATTTTCACACTTAATACGTAAGTCCTAATTCTATGCTTGAGCATAGTAGGGCGGTGGTTAATCATTGTGAGTTTTGTAATTTGTTCTTTTTAATAGTGAAATTTCGGTGGTTTTCTGGAAGAATTCATAATTTTGAGTGAACCACACAAATTTGTATGTTCTTACTTTCTTTTCATGTTAATTTTTGCAAAACTAGTAAAATTTCATCAAAGACCAACTGTACTAACTATTCTACTTTCCTCTACTCCTGTAAGTAGGTCACAGACGCTCCAATCTTAGATGCCTTATTATCAGATATATGCATCGGCACCTCAGCAGCGCCAACATATCTTCCTGCCTATTCTTTTGAAAACCATGATCAACAAGGGAATGTGAAAGAATTTAACCTCATTGACGGTGGTGTTGCTGCTAATAATCCGGTACTTAGATTGCTTTATAAAAACAAATTTCTGATAAACGATCTGTTTGGTTCAGTTTTCATAAAACAATTTTTTTTTTTTTTAATCTAAAAAACAAAAAATTATACGAAATTTATTTCGTTCAAAGTTTCTAAAAACGACTTCCTGATTAAAAAACGGACTTATTATTGTAGGGAACTGTTTTAAACAAGTAAACCAAACAAGTCAATCCTTTCTTTTTTTTTTTCTAATTATTTGGAATTGACTTCGAGAATCAAAACAGAAACTAATAAATCGTATTGACGTTGCAATGTCATAATTCAATCCAGGCTTTGGTTGCTGTTAGTGAGGTGACGAAACAATTGTTGAAGAAGAATCCAGATTTCTTTCCCATGAAGCCCATGGACTACGATCGTTTTCTGATTATATCAATTGGGACGGGCTCACCCAAGTCCGAACATAAATACAATGTTAAAAAAGCGTCCAAGTGGGGACTTGTTGGGTGGTTATACAACAATGGATCTACACCGTTGGTAGATATTTTTAATCAAGGAAGTGCAGATATGGTTGATTTTCACATTTGTGTGGTTGCTGAAGCTCTTCATTCAGTAGATAACTACCTCAGAATCCAAGTAATTTTTATTTTATTTATTTTATTAAATGCTTTAAATTAAATGATAATGACTTAATTGATTTTTGTTCTTAAATTAATACAAAACCAGGTTGACACTTTAAGCGGCGATTTAGCTTCTGTTGATGTGTCTACAGAGAAGAATTTGGAAAATCTTGTGAAAGTTGGTGAAGACTTGCTAACTAAAACAGTTTCGCGGGTGAATGTGGAGACTGGTAGCTATGAACCAATTGAAAATGGTGGCACTTACAAGGAAGCACTTACAAAGTACGAATATATATGCTGTTATTTTAATTTATATATATATTAATTCTAACTTTGTAATAATCATCCCCTACACAATCTAATAATAATTTTCAAATATTGTAGGTTTGCAAAATTACTTTCTGACGAAAGAAAGCTCCGACAGTCAAAGTTCGTGGACATGAAAGAAACAAAATAAAACGAGTTCCAGTCACTTGTTTATGCTTTAAGTTTTATTTTATTTTTATTTTTTAAATTCTTCTTTGTAACTCTTGTAATAAGTTTATTGAGAAATTTCTAATGTTAAGAAATTTCAAATTCAACTGATAATAAGTTTATTGAGTGATGCTTAGATGTTGCGCCAACTCCTCACAACTTCACTAGTGCTATGTGACCCACTACATGTTGATGTTAGTGAAGAGCTTTTGCATCATCTTTTTATAAAGCGTGGTATCTGATAATGTAAGGCCCCAAGGATGGTGACCAAAGCTAAGTTCATCATTCCAATTTCCACACACAACACATTTGAGTGTTTTACAGATAGATGAAAAGACAACACCCATGCCAAATTTCTTGTGATAATGCATTTCAAAATTCCTTAAATTTATTTTCTAAATTTCATCCTTACTCTCTCTCTATATGTATATATAGATTCAGGCATGATATTGCAATTCAAAATCCCTTAATTTTGTTTTTAAAATTTCATCACAACTCTCCCTCTCTCTCTCTCCCCATATATATAAAAAATAAAATAACAAAATTTTAAATTTTCATCGGAACTCTTTCTATATATATATGTATGTATGTCTAAGAATATGTATGTATATGTATGTAAATTCCCCACCGCCCCCCCCCCCCCCCCCCCCCCCCCCCGCGCCCAAAAAAAAAAAAAATCCCAAAAAAACCAAAAGAACAAGTGGTGTGTGCCTCTGATAGGAAACAAATAGTATTACAAGTAGCAAATAAGATTTAATTGATTTACGTAATATGTTATTTCTGCATTTATTTTGTGAAATTCAATACCTAATTAATTAATTTTTTTTATTACAACAGCATTCTTATTAAGAATAATTAAAAATAATAATAATAATAATAATTTGTGGGCCAAATTTGTCAATTATCAAATTTCATTTATGAAAGGAGTGATAGGGTCTATTACATGACATGTGGGACTCACCGCCCCTACTCACATAAATTACTACTCTGACACTCAAATGTGTTGCGTGTGGAAATTGGAATGATGAACTTAGCTTTGGATCCCACTCCTTCTAGGAGGGTTCAACAAAAAACTTGTGGACGTGCCGCGTGCGCCCAGTCACGTGAAGAAGACGACACTAGAGGTGCGGAGTTCATCCTAAAAACATTTTTCCTGTGTTAAACCCTATTCTCTCTTCAACCATGTTTTCCCCCTTAGGCCTTGTTTGGTGGGTTGCCCCTTTATGCTTGTATCTTGTTTCTTTTTCATAAATCAATTAATTATCCAAAAATATATATAGTTTTCTCTAATTTATTGAATTTCTCTCTACATGTATATATATTATTTGTTATGAATTTTAAAAAAAAAAAGAAAAAAAAATTCCATAATTGACAACGTTGTCTACTAAATGAAAAATCGTTACAATTATTTTATTTTATTTTTAAAAAATTAATTTTATATTAGTATCAAAAATGAAAATTTCTGGTCCAACTCATGCATGTATGTACATATTTTTGTATTATATTTTACTATGCAATAAAATTCAGGACAAGAATGTTGATTAGAAGTTATAGGCGTGAAGGGTTCGAATGGAGTTTTTAAGAACAACGAGGAGGAGCAACCTAATCACTGGACTACGAAATGCTTTTTAATAATTGGGTGGACACCAATAAAGTAGTAAATACGTCCGCCTAATGTCTTCTCGCCAAACCACCTTTCCACCCGTCACAAAAAATCTCTAAACACATTTTCTCTGTTGGACTTCATTATCTTTCAACAATCAACTTCTATATATATGTATATAGTCCACAACTTTTATCAGCTTCAACTCATTCGACTCCTCTTGAGAATTACTTATATATTCGATCTCTTTGCCTGTAAAGTTTTATTTGTCATATTGTGTGTGTGTGTTATATATATATATATACATCCCAAATGCCGCCAAATAGACCTCCGGTTTATGGGAAATATATCACAATTCTTAGCATTGATGGAGGAGGAATTAGAGGAATTATCCCTGCAACAATCCTCCACTACATGGAGGAACAATTTCAGGTAATACTTCAAAAATACTAATGTACGTGTCATATCCATAAAGCTATATATATATGAGCCTTTATTTTCAAATTCATGCACATGTAATTTGTATTCTAATTTACATGATCAGCATATATATTATGATTTTGAGGATTAAATTAATAAATTGTGATATATATATATATATATATATATATATATATATGTTTAATTAGGAGCTGGATGGTAAGGATGCAAGGTTGGCGGATTACTTTGATGTGATTGCAGGAACAAGTACAGGTGGTCTTATAACTGCCATGTTAACTGCACCAAATGAAAATCAACGCCCTCTTTTTTCTGCGAAAACAATAGTGGAGTTCTATATGGAAAAAGGTCCTGATATTTTCCCCCAAGGGTAAGCATAAAATGAAGATTGGATATGCATATATAATGCTTGATGGTTTTAGTTATTATATTTCACAGAATTCTAGTATATATGCGTAATTTGTTCCTGAAACAAATAAAAATAAAAGAATAAAAGAATAAAAGAAAAAGAGTTGGTCCACTAAATTTATACTATATAGCTTAGAAAGAGGAAGATTTGATCCGCTTCATGTATAATTAATATATACATATATATATATACATGCACACACACAGGAGCAAAAGAGCCGTTGGTGCCTTCAGGCTCGACTTGAGTAATACTGAAACAAAACATTATATATATATATATATATATATATAATACAGTTTTATGGATAATTTTAGGACTCTCAAGATGCAAAAGTAACTAACTGCAATGTTCTACTTTCTTTTCTTTTCTTTTCTTTTCTTTTTTTTTTTTTTTTTTTTTTTTTGTTTTGGTACCGCAGTTGCCAAGCTTGCTGTGATGGTGGTTGTGGTTGCTGTTCTTTAAATTGTGAAAGCTGTGGTTGCTTTGGTTTCATTTCTGATATGTGTAGAAAATTGCGTTCTTGTTTCTGTGGTTGTTGTGGTCGCATTGCTGATACTGGTAGACAATTCCGTTCTTATTGTTGTTATCCTAAATACAATGGGAAAAGCCTTCACCACCTGCTATATACAAGGATGGGGACGACAAAGTTGAACCAGACATTGACTAATGTTGTTATTCCAACCTTCGACATCAATAATCGCTACCCCACTATCTTTAGCTCATTTCAGGTTAGTACTGAGACAATATATATATATATATAGTTATAATTTCTGCTGGATAAAAATATTGTGGTGGAAACTCTAAACAATGATGTCCAGGTGTAAAACACACAAGTAATCGTATAGACAAAACAACCATACACACCATAGAATCTGATTATGGTTCATAAACCAACTTGGCCCAAAACTCTAGACCTTTTGAAGAGTCCAAAAGAATAAAAGAAACTAATTTTCGCACTTTCCATATTGGACGGTCCAACTTGATGTAGCTCTCGTTCTAGTCCTCTCTGATAAAGTTGAACCGGTCTATATAATTCTCCCAGTCACAAACTCTCTTTCCAAAACCAGCAAGTATGACCGGTTTATACACTTGGACGGGTCCATGTTTGACATTTCTAATCCCAAATGATCCCCGGCCTATACCTAAAGTGAAGAAAAAATTTCTACGGTATAATGTTCACTCTCACACGTGGTTTGCAGTTACTTAGGCCAATAAGTGTACGGTATCGAACCCTTCAAAAAGGGTTCCGAAGCGAACCATGCTCTCACACTACCTCTTGAGAGATTGCTCAAGGTATTGAGTGCCCATTTCTCTTCTCTCCTTACTCACTCTTCCATTCTCTTTTCTTCTCTACTGGCTCAACATATCCAACTCCATCTCTATTTATAGACTTCCTAACTTGGTGAACAAGTAATACAAATTCTTCTGGTTAAGGAATGTAACTACTTACCTTTGGAAAAAACAAAAGGAATACAGCTACTTGGCCTAAAGTATAATGATTTACTTTGGGGCAAAGTCCAGCAAAACATTTTCAGATCATAACAACTCAATGAGAATTTGAGACATATATTACCTTTCCCGGGGGGAAAAAAATTACAGCGTACTATGTTAGTTTGATTTTCGATCTAGGTGAATTTCTGGCAAATGAACCACCATTGACACCACCGTCACCACCCCACAATCACCACCAACAGTGTATTATGGTCAGAGACAATGAGAGTGCGTACTGACCAAGGTTGTTAAAATCGGGATTCTACGCAGAATTGTTTTGGGCTTCGTAGAATCGGATCGTAAATCGTAAGATTCTACCAAATTGTGAAAAATCAATTGAAACTAACTTATTGAATAATAAAATCTGTAAAATATAACAAAAATGAGACCAAAACACACAATATTATATATCCATGAGTTCGCAAATCTCAAATCCTAACAATATTACAAATTCTGAATATAAATAAAAGAGAATGCAGTTCAAAATAACATGAGTTTACAAATCTTAAATCTTAACTCATCCATATCCAAAGTTAGAAACTAAAATTACATATCAAAAGTAATTTTTTTTTTTTTTTTTTTTAACTCTATGCAATTTCCTTTTTCTTTTTTCTTTTTTTTCTTTTCGAAAACTAAAGAAATAAAAAGACATTTTTATCCACCAATCCAAGTGTTACGATGTACATGACCTTATTAGTCACAAGCATGAAATTAATCAAGAGTTAGTACAACAAAATTAATGAACCACGTGTTAACTCGATCTCATTATATTATCAATTTAGACTACAATATTATACCTTGGCTGGCATATCCGGCAAGTCTTTTAAGCTTTTAAATTATTTTTAATTTTTAATATATATGATAAGCCTTCAAAAAAAAAAAATTTAGTCAAATGAAAATATTGATCATGAAACCAAAATTTGCCTAAATGTGTTAGTCACGAGTATGCATCCTTAAGATATAATTGATCATTTTAATTTTTTATAATTAAACACAAAAATATATTAGGGAACATCGACATGCATGGTAAAAATAATTGATATATATACATATATATATTTCTTTTTCTGCCAATAATGAAAAATAATTTATATTTTATAAAATAAATATTTAACTTTGTATACTATACTTGGGTCAGGCCTCTTTTATTTTGTAGCTCAGAAGAAACCAACCAAAAAATAAAAAAAAAGCCCAAAAATAAAGGCCCAAACAACTAATTTTGTAGAATCGTGTAGAATTGTACGATTCTACCTCCGATTCTACGATTCTACTCCCGATTCTACCGATTCTACCCCCGATTTTACCAATTGAGCGATTTTGCTACGATTTGACTCGATTTTGAGTTTTGAATCATTCTACGATTCAAAATCGCGATTTTGATAACTATGGTACTGACATATATATGTCATATATGTATATATATTTGAAAAGAATGTATTTATCATTATAAATCATATTAATGTATGATAATAACTATGTTAGTTTGATTCTCAATCTAGGTGGATAACATCGCGATGATGAATGCCAAACTAGCAGATGTATGTATCGGCACCTCAGCAGCGCCAACTTATCTCCCTGCACATGAATTTACCGTCGAAGTTGATAAAATAGAGGAACAATTTAACCTCATCGACGGTGGTGTGGCCGCTAATAACCCGGTAATTAATTAAGATTATCTTTATATATATATAGGATAATACTTAGCTACTCAGAGTAGGGTAAAACTACTAACCCCTATTTGGTACAATAATAAAATAACATATCACATATAATAATAAAATAATTCACACCTAAAAACACAATATACGTTTGTTTATTCAATGGTTGATCCGAAAAAGTAAAGAAATGTGTGGATTATTTTATTATTAAAGGTGATGTGTTATTTTGTTATTAGACTACATAAGAGTGAGTAGCTTCACCCTACTCACTAGTGAGTAGCTAAGTATTCTCCATATATATATAGGATAATGCTTAACTACTCACTGGTAAGTAAGGTGAAGCTACTCACCCCTATATGGTCCAATAAAAAAATAACACATCACATTTAAAAATAAAATAATCCACATCTAAAAACAGAAAAATGTGTGAATTATTTTATTATTAAAGGTGATGTGTTATTTTGTTATTGAACCATATAGGGGTGAGTAGCTAAGCATTGTCCATATATATATATATATATATATATATATATATATGCACATACATGCAGTACTACTACTGATACATATTTATTTAGAAATGTATGTATATTCCTGCAGGCTTTGCTTGCTATTAGTGAGGTGACCGAACAGGTGCACATGCAGAATCCAGATTTCCCAAAGATCGAACCCTTGGACTACACTAATTATCTTGTGATCTCAATAGGGACAGGCGAAAAACTGAATAAGAATAAATTCAATGCTAAGGAGGTTAATTGTTGGGGAAAAATCGGCTGGATATTGAACACTAATGCGTTTACTGATATATTTTTTGACGCAAGTGCGGCTATGGTAGATTTTCACAATTTTGTGATTTTTAACTCTCTTCAGAGGAAAGATAACTACCTCAGGATCCAAGTAAGAATATATATATATAGATATAGTATAGTATAGTACCTTCATTAATTACAAACAAGAAGAAGAAATTTATGGAGTATATACATTATTCCAAAAATATTTCAATAATTATTTTTCAGTACTGTTGTATCTACGTATAGAGATGAAGAATTTCAATGGTCATATTCTTTAATATATATTTTTGTTGTTAAATGAATGACCAGGACGACAAGCTAAAAGGTGATTTAGCTTCTATGGATTTGGCTACACCAGAGAATCTGGAAAATCTTAAGAAAGTTGGCGAAAATTTGCTGGGCAAACCAGCTACATGGGTGAATCCGGATACTGGTAAAGAGGAAGAAATTAAAGGTGACTGGTTCACCAATAAGTTGGCACTCAGAGGGTACGTACCAGTCAATATGCTCACTTTAATTTATTTCATCTCTCTAAATTCCAACTTCTAGACCAACTATATATAAATATGTGTGTGCGCGCGCGCGCGCCTTCGATCAATTAATGATTATATATGTATGATGTTCTCATATAGAATTCTATTTATAATAGATTTTTTTCTAATACTTGTAGGTTCGTGGAAAAAATTTCAGAAGAAAAGAAAAACCGAGAGGCAACTTTCCAGAAAATGGAAAATGCGAATTAAAACGATTTGAAGTTGCTGTTCTATGTTTTATCTTATCGAATTAATTGCATGTGGTCCTAGCTATTGGCCTCTCTCTCGTGTCTCTCAAGATGTGGAGAGTATGTCCTACACTATTTGTTTCGAGGATATTTTTGTCTATTATCTGGTGTTTATTATTATTATTATTATTATTATTATATCCTCAGGTAATGGTCTATAATATTGGTGTGTGCCTACCTACCTCCCTCGTCTCTTCTTTTAAGAGATGTGAGATGTGTTGGGTTTTATTTCAATTACCCATGTAAACATCAAGGATATTTTAATTAATTAAAGAGAAGAATTTTATTTCCTAATTTTTTTTTTTTTTTCACATTTAATATTCACATACACATGTTTTTATGGAGGTTTAAACCCTTAATCTTTCTTTAAAAAGTAAGGGTCTGATACTGTTAGGCCATTAGCCTATTGGTATTTTATCTCGTACTTTGTGAGTGAAGCAGAGCAAAAAGTTGAATTGATTGATGATTAAATCACCGAGTACTTTTAGATATTAGATAAGATCCTCAGAACCTTTGAGAATTTCCTGCAAAGTATTAGAGTGTTTTACCCCCTCATGAGAGTTGTCCTTCGATAGGCTTGAATATAGGTTTATGAGAGTTGTCCTTCGATAAGCTTGAATAAAGTTTTTAAAACCTTTATATATAACAACAACAGGTGGACAATTTCTTTACAAATAAACATATATAAGGTTACATTCCTATCATAGAAACTTAGATACCAATGATTAGAATTAAATCACACGAAATAAGTTAAAAAACCACAATCCAACAATATAAAACCAAACTCCCAATTAGACCACCAAATTACTGGGAAAAAAAAAAAAAAAGAATTAAATAACATAATGTATACACTTTTATAATTGAAATAAAGTTTATACATTAATTACAAAAACAAAAATATCATAATTGATAAAAATGAGTGAAAATAAAATTAGGATAACCAATTAAAAATGTTGCCCAAAAAATTCAATAACTAAAATGATGAAAATTAAAATGATTATTTTGTTTCAAATATGTAATGTGCACATAAGTGCACCTTTTGATATGTATTTGACATATATGTAATAATTCCATTGGTCAAGTTCTTTTTTTTTTGTATTCTAAGTACTTTTACTCTCAAGCTATATTATGGAAAAATGGAAAAATAACATGTTTTAGCATCATTGCATTCGCATGGGGTGTGGGAAATGTGCTAAGGCACATTCATAGGGTTCATTTATTTATGTATGAAGTGTGGCCAAGGGCCAAACAGTCTTTTGACACCATTTAATATTTTTTAGTCTCAAGTTTTCTTTTAAAAGTCATTTTTAGGCAAATTTGAGGTTTAACATGTTAATTTTTGCAAATGACTTGTATTGAGGCCGAAAGCCATTAGAACACATGTGAATATGTAAATTACATTTGCGTGTATGCTCACATTTCACATAACATCACATTTGCATGAAATGGGTGTTGTAGGCTTCATGTTTTTCTTTTAAAAGTGATTTTCCTCATTTTAGAGGTTCGGATAGGTTGTATTTTGTATCGGTCCTTTTCGGGAGCCGCGAACCATTCTCTCTCGCTCAAAATCACTTATTACGCTTGCGTGCATATTCGTTTCAGCCTAGAAATACATTTATGGTCAAATATATACTTAGTGCAAAGTTGCATTTTTTTTAGTTTTGCCCTTTTCTGATCTAGGGGTATTCTAGGTATTTTACAGTGTATTTTTTTTTTTTTTTTTCCGTCAGCGCTGTCGGGTAGAAAACTTGATTTTAGGGGGGGGGGGGTTTCTTCTTCATATTTTTCCAGAAAATGTCGTTAAGAGCCCCGTTTTTGCTCTCTGTTCTGGCAGATTTCATAAAAGCATGTAGCAGCTTTTTAACCCTCTTGACCTATGCTGATCTAAGGGCATTTTAGGGATTTTATAGTATGTTTTTTCATTTTCTTCCACGTTGCCGGGTACAAAACATAATTTTAAGGGGGTTTCTTCTACGTGTTTTTCAAAAAAATGTCGTCTCGGACCCGAAAATCCCGCATCAAATCCGATTTTTCCTGTACGCACCTGCACTATTTAAAAAGGTCTGTTATAAGGGCATTTTGGGAATTTCACGTCAAAAATAAAATTTTCTTTCAATATGGTCAGCTTGGAAAAATTATTTTGAAGGGGGTTTCTTTTTCATGTTTCTCCAAAAAACGTCGTTTAGTGCCTCAAAATGGCACACGAATTTCAGCATTTTACCCAGGTTACTTTTCATCGCTGTCAAAACACTATTCACAGCCTCGGGGAAAAGAGAACTTGCAGTACCATTGACCTCTCACTATCTCGCCAAAAGGTTCCGCACCCTCCTATGTAAAAGAAAAAAAAAGCTGTGGTGTGGATGGGTGGAATAGGATCAAACAACGATTCTATGTGTTTTTTCTAGTCAGTGGACAGATTGATATTCCTTCTTTTCCCCGTCACTATCTCTTTTGTTGATAAGAAATCCACAACAGACACAATAAACCTCAGTAGTAATGCTAGGCTCAGGTTGCAAAACAAAAGTGAAATACAAAAACAGTGCTCCATACATCTTACTTTGGAAGTCCCAGCATACGATGAAAAATGATCTATGTAAAAGATATTGTATATTCATCAGTACATTGAGAGGTGTTATCACTGTGTAGTTCGTTATAGTCTGTGTTGTCAGTATCGTGCACTATGTATAATAGCTGATTTCCCGGGTAGGGAAAGGCGACACTTAACCACCTAGTGTGAGTTTAAGTGATCACCGTCTATTCTGGTTGAGGTCATGTTATATATTAGATAGTTCCCTTGTGATGTATACAAATATAGTACTCATCCAATTAATGATTAATTTATTTGATTCTCTGATTTGGGTCATAGTAGAGAGGACTTGCTCGTGGGGTTGACCCACCATTGTTGTTATTTCAGGATACGGTTAGTACCCGTTCCAAGGTTGAGGTTAGCAGTATGGGACCACCATCCAAACTCATCTACTCATATGATCCAGTTCAGGGTAGAAGTTTTATGTATTACCTCAGTTTCAATTTTTATTTACTTTTGACGTTGAACTCTCAGATTTATATTTAGGAATCCTTGACATAGGATTTCCAAGTTGTAACGGAGTACTGTATTAAATAAAGGATGGATGGATGTTGTATTATTTAGTATTCCTTTCCTGTCTAAATTCTTTTATTATTATCATTTTGTATTCCATGCTTGTATGTTGCCAATTGTTTTTGATATCCCTCGTTTTTCGGGTATAAGCCTGATCAACTTATGCGTGGAAAATGTGGGGGTGTCACAGCCACTTTGGTAGCTACCAACCTTTACATAATATGAATATTAAATTAGATAGTAACTAATTTATGATTAATTATGTCTATTACAAAAATTAATATTCATCAATCATTATGATTGGGCCACTTTAGTAGCTACCAATCTTCACATAATATGAATATTAAATTAGACAGTAATTAATTCATCATTAAGTTATATTTACTACTAAAATTAATATTCATCGACCATTATGGTTAGGCCACTTTGGTAGCTGCTAACCCACACATAATATGAATATTAAATTAACTAGTAATTAATTAATTATTAATTTACCCATTTAACATTATACACATATACTCATAATTGTCGATTAAAGTTTAAGCAACTTCGATCTCAAAAACTTAATAGTCCGAAATTTCATAGAAAATATCTTTTTATTTTATATACATAATTAAATATATTATTATTATTATTATTTTTATTTTCGGACTTAAAGATCAAAATTGAATCAATCTAAAATTGGTTCACCATTATGTATGTATGTATGAGTACAAAACAATAATTATTTGCATGTTCAACAACATTAAATTAAATTTTTAGACTTACACATTATTCTAAAAAATTAAATTTCCATTAAAATAAATAAATACACATACTTTATTTATTTAATAATTTATTATATATACACTGAGTTTCGTAACAGCACTTTTCGATCTTCTGTACGAGAACTGACCAGTCACAAAAAGCCACCTTCCAATTCTATATAGAGATCATGCACGAAAAATAAAAAATCTATGGATATATGTTGTCTCAATTAGCAGCATCTCCATTGCATTGCTTTTCCATAAGCAATTGAAAGTTGTAAAATGTTACTGATTTGTATGGAAAGATTCTCGCACAGCCAATGATTAGAAGATGGGTCCATGGCAGTTTACTATCATTATTGTACAATATGTTTATCCATACACATATTGCGTCTATATATACAATGATTCCAGAAGAAAATAAATTATATATTTATATAATTTTACTTTATATTTATACATATTATTTATGCAATTTTAAAGGAAAATAACGAATTCCTAAACCATAAGCTCTGATACCACATGTAAACTATAATTATTCGTGTTAAATCATTCATCACAAATAAACATGAATCTCATAATCTTAGAACTTCATGATTTTCATATATCTATAATGCATAAATAAATAGTTAGATATAAATACCTCGATTCATGATATCAAACCTTATTGAGATTAAATCAAACTTCTAGATCCTTTAACCACGAACTAATCTGCAACTCTGATCAACAGGCAAAGGTAGAAACTGGTTTCTCTCTCTTGGCCTTTTGCACACATAAAACTTTTACGTATTGTTTCATTAATTGTACATAATTGATGGAGTATATGCACTTTTATAAAGGCAGAGAGAGGACCAGTTTTCCTATTAGTAACATAATTCTACTTTCCATCAAAGTAAGAAAGAAGAAAGGAAAACACTTCTCCAATAAGTAATTACCAAAAAGGTAATTATAAGTTAACCATAAATAAATAATATTAATTGATATCTATTTACTTAGCCACCAAGTAATATGTCACATGTCCAAATCATGTGGGTCACAATTAAATAAATAATCTTACATATTTATCTTGCACTATCCCAAATTTTTTATTTTAGTTATTGAATTTGAAAAAGCACACCAAATGGCCTTTTCAATTGATTATTTTAATTTTATTTGTAATTATTAATATATAAATAAGTCATTAACTATTTATTACTAGTTTTCATCATTTTAGTTATTGAATTTTTAGGGCGACCTTTTTAATGGGTGTTGATGTGAAAATTCTCGCGACTCGAAATGACAGCATTTACCTGCAAAACAATGGAGATTATGTCACATCGGATGACACCGATGGAGTGCCAACCGAAGACCTCCCGACGATCAAGTTAGCACTTGTAACCATATGACAAAAAAATAATTATGTATTCAATGTTTAGGGATTTTTTCCTCATCCCTTCTTTAATGGCTCGACGCCCTATTTATGACTGTCGATTGGAATCAAGTTGGTTCAGCCGATGTCGATAATTGAGATCCCCCTTATCATTAGTAATTGGATTTGTTGACGTGATGAAGTTAGTTACGAAATTGGGATTAACCTTATCCTCTTTGTCAGTTGAATAACAATATCTTTATATTCTCAAGTTGAAGAGGAATGGCGGCGGGTCAACCCTAGAGCTATTTTTTTCCCATCAGTTGCTCCCTATTTCCTGATTCGAAACGGATTAAGAAATATAATTTTTTTTTCACCCCAGGTCATTATTCCCGAGGTGAACATTACCTCCGGGCATTGCTCCCAAGGTGGAAAAAAGTTTAAACCGGGTAAACCTAGGTAGAATATCCATCTAGCCTCCTATTTTTATCTTCTTTCCTTTTTCTTCTTCGTCTCTGTCTCTCTTTGGACTCGTTTTTCAATCATTTTTGTCTAATTTATTGAATCTCACTTTTTTTTTTTTTTTTTCTTTTTTCCTTCTTTCTTTTTTTTTTTTTTTTTTTTTTGGTTTTTCCTAATGGAAAATTTTATCAGACAGTGTTATACTTATATAGGATGTTTATTTATGGTTATTGAAAGTGATTTTAATATTTATTTAAGTTTATTAATAAAGTTAATTCTCTTCAAAATTTTCAAAATTCGGGTAAAAAAAAAAAAGGATAAAAACCTTGGGCTCCGTTATAATTGAAGGAAGAGAAAACTCACGGTCTACCTTGCTCTCCTCCCTTCACAACAATACAACCATATAATTGTTAGTTACAATAAATAGGCAAGTGTAGCCAACCCAATTACTGGGTGACAGTTGGCTTACATTAATGGTTACAATACAGGTGTCCTGTAATATTATGAGAAAAACTTGTTTGGGTCCAAAAATTGTGGGTGAGTTTCACAATATTTTTCGTGAAAATAAGTTTTTCTCTCATATTAGATACATTGTCTCTTTTTATAATTATTAACTTATTTTTTTACTTTAAATATCTATAATTATCAAATTTAATTTTTTTTAAAAAAACATAAAGAATAACGATGGAAAGAAGAATTAATTTAGGATACTCAAGAAGGAAATAATGGAGATAGTTGAAAAGTGAAAATAATTTATTACATTTATTTAAGTAAGAAATAGAAAATGACATCATTACATCGTCATTCCAATTAACAAAAATGTGACGCTATTAGATTATTTCCGAATAACAATGGGGACAGCTTATACGGTCGACTGTCATGGTTTGGACCACCGTAGACTTGGAAAAGTGTGTCATTGTCTGCCATTGTCAAAAACAAAAAAACAAAAAAAGGAGTTGTAGTAGTTGTAAAAGCAAGTTTCACGCGAAAGTGGAAAAAGTGGTAATGTCCACATTAATGCCAACTAGTGTTGGTGGACGTAATTAATTAATGGCTTTGTCGCACGCCAATCAATAATCTTGGAAAATAATAAGAGCATCAGCAGGCACCCACCTAAGTTGGCCCCAGTATATATTTATTTCACATTTAAAATAAAATGTACTGTAACATTTTCAAAATGTAAAATTTATCCAAAACAATTATAAATGCATTTAATAAAAATATTATTAATCAATATTTAAATTTTTATATATTTATTGTCTTAGTTTAAATAAATAAATCAATCTTACTAGTATTATTCTTCTGCACTGCCCCTATTGACAAAAAATCTTGTGTCTGTGGATAAGTCGGTGATTTGTAACTGTTTGGATGTGTACATAGTGATTTATATATACACACCCGTGTTAAACTACAACATTTGGCTACACGTAAAACTTACAGTATATTTTTAATTACGCAAACAACTCACACATATTGATTCACATCTTCAGGATCCATTTTCTCTCTTTTGGACTCAAATTCCTCACTATGTCAATGAGAAAGGAGAGCTTATATAACATCTAAGCCAATGGGCATGTGATATATGAGAGAGACTCGTTTTATTTTTATTTTATTTTTACATTGATAAGTAATTCATATCATTTCGTAAAAACTTGAATATTCAATTTTCTACTTTAAAAATAGATAAATTTTTACTAAATTACAATCCTTAATATTGAGGCAAATTATCATTAGAATATAATTTGTTTAATTACACTCATCCTAGCAATTTAAGCATTTTGTTGCAATTGGTAGTTTGAAGGTTCAGATAATTCTTAGAACGTAACAAAATTTAAATCAACTTCGTATGCTTTACTAAATTACAATCCTTAATATTGAGGCAAATTATCATTAGAATATAATTTGTTTAATTACACTCATCCTAGCAATTTAAGCATTTTGTTGCAATTGGTAGTTTGAAGGTTCAGATAATTCTTAGAACGTAACAAAATTTAAATCAACTTCGTATGCTTTCACCTGTTGTTGATTTGGCATATGAGTGTGTCCTCCGTTTTCTCCATAATAAAATGGTAATCCTTATTTAATGGTGAAAATTTGAATTGACAAGTACAATATAATAATGCAAACCCTTAAAATAATAATAATAATAATAAAGTAAAATATTGGAGTTGGTCAGCCACATGAATTATGTCTTAACTTATTCTATTCAATGTCATATCCCTATATTATATTAAGGGCCTTATAGCAAAGTGGGTATGTGAGTATTTCTTGCCAATAAATTAAAAAAAAAAAAAAAAAAAAAAGGGCTGGGATGTCATTATTAAAAATGATTTCAAAAAATATTCCTACATTATAATTTTTGAAATCATTTTTAATAATTACATCTCAGCCCTTTTTTTTATTTTTTTTTTAACAACGAATATTTCTCATTTTCATCTCCACTACTTTCACTAATTTCTAACAGATGGGTGTTACCTCTAATTTTCTCCACACTTTTATTAGTGACCCCATCCTTCTAGTATATCTACTCATTTATCTTAACATTGCCATCTTCCCTACATAAAAGTGTTTTCTTGTTTCTTATTTAAGCCCCAATACTCCCACTCAATACACCATAGTTGGTCTAATAACAATTTTATATAAATTTTCTATTAACTCATGCGTTATTCTTTTATCATATAAGATCTCACTATTCTGTCTTCATTTCATTTAACCTGCTCCAATTCGGTCTACTAAATATAATAATCTATCTCTCCATCATTTTGTATTATCTGTCCTAGATAGTGAAAATGTTTATTTTAAGTAATCTTTTAATTTTGAAGTGTTATCACTGTATAAAAACTCCAATGGAAAAGGTTAGATATTTTTTTTTCCAAAGCCAAAAAAAAAAAAGTTTAAATATTTGTTATATAAGTATCATTTAAACAAATAATCATATATTATACTTATAGCCATTATTAACCTTCTTTTCAATTTTTTTTTTCTAAATATTGATTTTTAAAAAATTAATTGAAATATTGTGTATATAATATATATATATATAGATATCTTGTATTCAATTTTTTAAAAAAAATTCAAGCACGTAGTAATTTTCATAAATCATTGCCAACTCACACCTTTAGTGTCACACTTCTTGGTACACTAATTCGATTCTGGGCACTCTACCAATTAGTTAACTAAATAATGCCTAAACAATTATATATATATATATATATATATATATATATGTATGTATGTATAAAGTAGGTAAAACAAATTTTAAAAATGCATGTCCCATTAGTAGACCTGTCAATGGATCGGATTCTGATCCGAATCCGATCTGATTATTCGGATATGAATTGAGTGAAATATCCGATAATTCGATAATGATCCGAATCCGCCAACCCGTTAACTTAACAAATCGGATATAGATTGAGTTGATCCGATCCACTAATAATCCGATTCGATTAAAATTATATATATATATATATCAACATCATATTTTTAAAACTGTAATAAAAATCAATAAATCAGAATATTATACTTACAATAAAGTAGGTGTTCTCACCCACATAGTAGTAAACCTTTCTCACCACATAGTAGTAAACCTACTCATATCTATCAATTAATTCACGAGAGAGGAAGAAGACTCCAGAAGTAGGTAAGTCTGTATGCATGAGCAGGTGAATGGAGATCGACAGCAAGAAGGAGAAGGGGGAAATTACCGATCGACAAACATTTTTGTGGTCTCATTTTTCTTCTATATTTTCTTTTCATTTCTCTATTACAAGCCCTAATTTATATCTTTCAAATCAAAGTTATTTCGGATTTTCCTCTTCCCCCTCTCTCTTTATCCATGTTTATGATGATTTTTTAGTTTCTTGTTACCGAATTCATTTATCTCTTTCCCTTTGTAACCTAGCTTTGGCTCAATTTGCTTGATTTGTTTGTGTCAATTGCAAAAGGGTAAAAACTCACAATCGGATCGGATTTATCGGATCGGACATTCGATAGAGTGAGTATCGGATTCGGATTGCTTATTTAAAAATCCGTTGGATTATCGGATCGGATCGGATTGATTATATTGCTTATCGGATTCGAATCGGATCGACCATGATCCGGTCCGTATCCGATCCGTTGACAGGTCTACCCATTAGTGAATAAATTAATTCACAACAAGAATGGGGATCGACAAACCCAACAAAACCTCAAATTTCAAATAGTTTTATTCGTTACAAATCAGATGATGCTATGAAGATTTACTTAACAAAAGAGACATTTCAGTTACGTATTCAAAACCAGTTAATTACCATCGTCCTTATAAACCCTAGAATCTTCAATTCTTGATCATTATTTTTTATATCCAAAATACTCATACAATATCTGATCTAAATCCTATCTGTGGATTGAAGCATCATGTTTAGATTTCAATCGTTTTGGTATTAACTATGGAAACAAAGAATGGAACAAAAATTTACCGAATTGTTTTATTTACGAAAAAAGAAGAAGAATGGAACCAAAAAAAAGAAAAGAAAAGAAGAAACCATTACAATAAGATAGTGTTCGAGTTCCGTACCAAAAAACAGAAAAGTGAAAAAAAAAAAAATCTCTAACCACCTTTTTCCTCAGACTTGGTTCTCTCTCCCTCCAATCAACTTATATATATAGACCACCACTTTGCTCAAAACTTCAACTCATTCGACTCCTCTTGAGAAGCCTGTTAGCATCTATTTGTCATATTCTGTTTTTTGTGTCACAAACCGCATGGAGAGTCTAACTCCGAAATTTGGGAAATACATCACAATTCTTAGCATTGATGGAGGAGGAATTAGGGGAATCATCCCTGCAAAGATCCTCGAGAAGCTGGAGGAACAACTTCAGGTAACAGTTGAAAAGTACTTATATAAATTGTGTATAAGGAAAGCTATATATATAATAATAATATATGTGCTATTATTTTCAAATTCATTTGTATTGTAAAGTCTATTAATATATGATCAGTATATTATGATTTTGAGGATTAAATTAATTAATTGTGATGTTTAATTAGGAGCTGGATGGTCCGGAGGCAAGGCTCGCGGATTACTTTGATGTGATTGCGGGAACAAGTACTGGTGGTCTTGTAACCGCCATGTTAGCTGCACCAAATAAACAAAACCGACCTTTATATGCAGCGAAGGATATAGTGCCATTTTATGTAGAGAACTGCCCTAAAATTTTCCCACAACCGTAAGGATTTAAAACCAAACTTGGCATAATTCAAGACGCTTATATATATATATATATATATATATATATATATATATATGTATGTATATGTATATATAATAAGGCTCCTGCACTGGGCCAGCCTCTTGCTCCTGCATGCACCAAAGAGATTGAAGAAGAAAGAGGAAGTGTTTGAAACACTGGCACCGTACATCCCTACTCACCACATTATATACAAGCAGTTTCGTGATATCCATCATAAAAATTTACTGTGGATCCATTTAACTTTATCATAATTAAGTAATGGGAAATTAAACTAATCCTGCTTGGTTTTGAAAGCACCATGCTTTAATCCTGTAATTCCAATTTCAAGGCAACATAGTTTATTTTTGTTGCAAAGGGAAGGAAATATTGGTAATAATGGATACCCTGATAGCTATTGCAGATTGAGACAAACGTTCTTCCAATTGATTTGCATGGATCAGTTTAAGAAATATCTTAATATATATATATATATATTCAATTGAGTGAAGGTGCACTGCTCTTATGGATAATTAATTTTTGGACCTTTTAAGACAGCATAATTGACTAACTAATTAATCGTTATTCTTCTTTTTGGACCACATGCAGATGGCGTGGTTTTGAATGGATTCAGCAGGCAAAGAATATGATTAATCCTAAATATGATGGTAAGAAGCTTCGCGAACTGGTAGAAGAAAAGTTGGACGACACACAGTTGCGACAGACCTTGACTAACGTTGTTATTCCAACCTTCGACATCTACGAGCTCGATGCTACTATCTTTAGCTCATTCCAGGTTAGTCTCTAGTCTCCTCTCTCTCTCATATCTAGTACTTTCACGTGTTGTCCATCCACAGTGGATCCTCGTGAACTACGCTAGCTTTTTTATTTTTTTTTTATTTTTTTTAATATAATGTAATATTTATTATAATATAAAATTATATCAACTTATGACAGTAACTATATATGTTAATTTGATCCTGGATCTAGGAGAATAACAAAGCGATGATGAATGCCAAACTAGCAGATGTATGCATCGGCACCTCAGCAGCGCCAGCTTTCTTGCCTGCACATAAATTTACCGTCCAAGATGATAAAACAGGGTTAAAGAAAACATTTAACCTCATCGACGGTGGTGTGGCTGCTAATAACCCGGTAATATATATACACACACACACACACACACATCTTGTAAATTAATATTTATCAGCAATTGTATGTGAATGTGATGTATATTATGTATGCAGACATTGGTTGCTATTAGCGAGGTGACCAAAGAGGTGCGCAGGAAGAATCCAATGTTCGGGGAGACTATGGATCCAATGGACTATGGGCATTATCTTGTGATCTCATTAGGGACAGGCACAAAGCTGAATGAACATAAATTCGATGCTGATGAGGTTGCCAAGTGGGGGCTTTCGCAGTGGATAACAAACACTAGTGCGTTTACAGATATTTTTTTTGAAGCTGGTGCGGATGTGGTTGATTACCACAATTCTGTGGTTTTTGGGGCTCTTGAGAGGAGCGACAACTACCTCAGGATCCAAGTAATCTACGTAGAATTTATATATATACCTCTCTCTCTCTCTCCCTCACACACACACACACATATATATATATATTCTTAATTAAGATTTTTAATTGTTCTTAATTAATTAATGCATAACCAGGAGGACGAACTAACGGGTGATTTAGCTACTATGGATAAAGCTACACCAAAGAATCTGGATGCACTTGTGAAAGTTGGCGAAAATTTGCTGAAGAAACAGTCTAAATGGGCGCCTCTGCGTAGAAGATCTTACACCAATGAGCAGGCACTGCGAGAGTACGTACCAATATGCATGTATTCTCCCATTAATTAATTTCATATCTATAAATTCCAACTTCTAGACCGAACTATATATTCACTAACCACCTAGAAAATTATTTTAATGGGGACGAATTTATACAATACTAGTAGTAAGCTTAAAAAAAAATTCAACTGAAAAAATATTTTACTTAATTATAAATTCATAATATTTTCGTAAAAATACATACACAATTATCCTCAACTAGTTTCATGTTTTTAAAAAGTTGTAAATGTGTAGACAAAAAAAAAGTTGTAACACAACTAAATATACCATTAAGAGTAGTAACTTAGTGGTTTCTCATTTACCTCTCAAAGTAAAAAGTTTCAAATTTAAGTCTCCATAAGAGTAAAATATGTACTTGTGTTATTTACAGGTTATAAAAAAAAAAAAAAAAAAAAAAACCCAACCAACATAGCTAAATTTATTTTTCTCAATTTCTACGTGACAATCCTAACTAATAGATCAATGGTAAGGTTACAATTAAATAAACTAATAATTTTTTTTTTCTTTTTTGTACCACCTATAAATTAATTAGAACTTTTCTTACCATTTTAGGGCTTGCACTTCTTCTATAAAGAGGTAGATTGTCAGCAAAAAGAATAAAAATAAAATTATTTATTCAGTTATTCAAAGAGATAAGAGAGCCATGGATGATGGAGGAAATGATAGTCCAGATAGAGACACAGATAATGGAGTCCATGACTACTGTTTATATGCATAGGCTGAGGGGAAAAGAGAAAAAGCACGGGGCAAAACATAAAAGTTATAGGGGCACTTATGTAATTACTCAAGATTTTATAGGTTAAAATATGATTTGTCAAAAATTCAGTGGAAGCTAAGTGCCCCCAGAATCTTATTATCTTAATTAAGTCCGTGCCTAATTATATATATATCTGTGTGTGTATATATATATTCTCATATATAATACTAATTAAAATCGATCTTTTCTTAATACTTGCAGGTTTGCGCAAAAACTTTCAGAGGAAAAGAAACTCCGAGTCAAAACGTTCAAAAAGTTGCTCAATATAGATCAAGAGAAATAAAACGTGTTCAAAGTTGCTGCTATATATATTGAATCTTCTAAATAAATAAATCTTTGTACGTACTAGAATACGTACACTCTTTGTTTGTTTGTTTGTTGGATTTGCCTATTCTCTCGGGTCGTGAGAGGCTTGTGTGTGCGCGTTTATATGTAAGCATGTGTAATGGTGTACGTTTGCTTCCCTCACTCATATCTGTTTTTTATGGGATGTGTGGTATTATTGGAAATAAAATAATATGTTATGGGTTATATATTGCCTTCCGTTTGTTTGTTTGTTTGTTTGTTTGTTTTTTTTTTTTTTTTGACATTGCCAAGAAACTCATAGGTACCCTTTCAAATATTTTTTTTAAAAGGTGAGGATGTACCATCACGTTACATATCTAGGAATTGTTCATGGGTGAGCTAATAGTAGTAATTATTATTATTTTTTTGAATTGGGTTAAAATTGGTATAGTAAAAATATATATATATATTTTTTGTCCTCCCTTAAATTCGCCAATGTATATTGTCATTGTTTGGCATGGAAACAAGATCGACTGATGTTGTTTTATACACACACACAAACACACACACAAATTATATATATACAAGAGGTTGAATATATTTTGAGGAGCTTAAATTTTAATCAAGTACTTCTCTTTCAAGCTAAGTAAGAACTAAAATGAAGTAGTTTTGGACAACCATGAGAACTCCAAGAACTAGCAGACCCTCCTACCGGAATCCACAACCTAATCATCTCAAACCTCCATTCTTGCCAACTCCCAACCTTAACCATCATCATACCACCTCTCTTCCCCTTCCCCCTGCATCAATCCTCAAAAAACCACCCCCTCACCTCCAACAAACTAGCATCTCCCCACCCTCCAACCAAACCAACAAACACCCCAAAAAAAGTAACATTCCTACTTACACCTAAATGCGGATCAAAACCCAAATTCATTGATGATCATAACCACATTCTCAATGACATTGACCCACAAAACACTCAAGCCTTAATTAATGAGATTTTCAGGTTACGGGTGGACCTTCAGGAGATCAAAAGCAACTACAAATACAAGTACCTCCTTGAGGAAGTAGAATGGCTGAGGGGAACCATTGGTGATGGTCTGAAAAATTAAGCAACGCTGAGGGCAAGAATCAATGATCTTAGTGACCACATCATCAATGCAAACCACTTATCGTTCATCTCACTGGATCATTCATATCAGGTCAATGAGGATACAAGCAACTATGGTGATGCAGAAGCTTCACATGTTGGCACCAACATCAGCTCACACCAGAACCGCAACACAAACCATCTTGGCACCACCACCAACTCACACCAGAACTGCCACACAAACCACCTTGAGAACTGTGCAACCCAAGGTGCAAATTTGAATTCAATCAAGAGTTTGGATATCTCAAGTTACCCTTCAAACCACTTTCCACCTCATGACCATCACATCACCTTTTCTTTTGATAACCCTTCTGACAAAAATAGCTCCATACACAAACCACCTCTCACACCACATAACCACTTTCGAGCCTCAAACCCATGCCTTACACCATCTTGTGGTCCACATAATGCTGATACAGCACCTCATGCTCCATCCAACATACTGCAAACCACTAGTACCCCTATTTTAACCTTGATAGACCTCAACCAAGATGGTCCTAATCCAATTACACCATTACCCAAAGATGTCCCTTCCCCAACTAAACCACCTTCTCTTACCAAGACCACCCCAACCTGGGCATCCACTGTAACTAAACCACCTCCACTCATACTCCACTGCAATTCATCCATATTCCAAAAACCTCTAAATCCACCATTTCACCACCATATGACATTGAATCTGTTGGACCGAACTTTCTCAAAACCAGCCTCCTTGGATATTTTATTCACAAAACCCTTCCTTTTGGTATGGTTAAAGACCTGGCCACTAAGTTATGGAAGGAGAAGGGTCTTCACAAGGTTACAAGTTCTGAAAAGGGTATCTATGAATTTCACTTCTCCACAATTGAGTAATGTAACCAAATCTTATCAGATAGACCATGGTTCCTATCAAATAAAACTATTATCCTCAGCCATTGGGAACCTTGTTTCAAGAAATGACTCCACTCTTCCATTCCAATGTGGATTAAATTGCATGGACTTCCTCTCCAATTCTAGACTGAACCTGGTCTAAGCTACATTGCTAGCAATCTTGGCTAACCACTTTTTGCTGATCACATAACTATTACCAGGCAGAAGACAAGATTTGCAAAGGTATGTGTTAATATATTGGCTTCCTCTGATCTCCCTTCTTTGCTCAAACTTCATATGAGCTCAGGTAAAGTTGCAGATGTCCATGTTAAATACCTCAATTGTCCTGCAATCTATTATTCCTGTTTGAATTTTGGCCACACTAGTAAAATATGCCATGGTTTATCTTCCAAATCTAAAATCGTATCCCCTAACAAAAATTGGCAAATCATTCTATTCAAATCCCCACAAAACTAAAAACAATCTTCACCTTATCTACCCACAAGCCCCTCATCTAGCTCGAAGTCCACATTACCACACAACATACCACTTCACTCTGGCCAAAACATTATAACCCACTATTTTAAACCAAATGAAAACTTCATCATCAACCTCAGTCCCTACAAACCATCTCAAATGAGTCCCATTACATTCCCCACCCTTACTCTTGACCTCAACCCTACAACTAAATTATCATGCACTGTAACCTCCCATCACCTTCAACCTATTGAACCAACTGTACGTGAGTTCATCCTTCTCAGAATCAGACTCATCCACCAATTGTCCCAATACCCTTGGTATAACAAAAGACAAGAGGGACACTAAAGGCAAAAAGAGAGCATCCTCAAAGAAGACTCAACCTAACTAGAAAGGGATTTTACTCCCAAGTGACAGTTTCTTTAACATAATCAAATGGTATCAGTAATGATATGGAATATAAGGGGTCTAAATGACCTTTAAAATAGATTGAAGTAAAAAAAAAAACTTCTTAGAGAAAAGAAGGTCGACTTAGTTGCCATTATTGAAACCAAAGTACAGTAGGGAAACATTGACTTAAATTCAGCTGGATCCATAAATTAATTGCCAACATTTGGAAGCTGGCTCATAACTACAATTTATCTCCACTTGGGAGGATTTGGATTCTTTGGAACCCAAACTCAGTCAACCTTCAAGTTATTCACAGCTCCAGGCAAGCTATGCATGCACTGCTCAGTCACAATTCTCTGCTTCAATGTATTTTTCTTCTATGGTGCCAGTGATGATCCTGAAAGAACTTGCCTTTGGACTGATATTGAAAACTACTCATCCATATTTGTTTCCTCCCCATGGATACCACTACAACAAATTTGGCTTGTTGCCACGAATTTTTTTGCCACATGTGAATTTCGTGGTAAAAAGTAGTGTTTTGCCACAAAATTAAATTCTTGTAGTTAAATATTGGTATTTGCCACGTTGCAACTTTTTCGTGGCAAATATTAGGTTTTTGCCACGAATATTAGGGACAACCAAAAAATTTGTGGTAAAATGTCAATTTTGCCACGACAAATTAGGGACGACATACAAAATTGTGGTTGAATGTTATTTTTGCCACGAATTTTTATTTGTGGCAATTGCATGCTCTTTTACTACACAACTATTTTTGTGGCAAATCTATTAGCAATTCGCAATGATGTCATTCTTGTGGTGAAAAATGTTATTTTACCACGATTTTTTTTTTTTTTTTTTTTTTGTTTCGTGGCTAAAATATTTATTCTGCCACAAATTTTCAATCGTGGCTATTGTATGCTCTTTTGGCACGTAACTATTTTCGTAGCAAATGTATTAGTAATTTGCAACGATATCATACTTGTGGCGAAAAATGTTATTTTACCACGAATTTTTTTGTCGTGTGGCTAAACCGATTTATTTTCTCACGATATTCCAGTCGTGACTTGTATGCTCCTTTGCCATGTAACTATTCGTGACAAATCTATGGTCATAATTGTTTTGATATATAAAAAATATTATAGCTTATAGTGAACAATAAACTTGCTTTAGTATAATATTTTTTTCTTTTATAAAAAATTTCTTATTAGATATGAAGATTGATAGCAATTTTACAAATATTATGGATGGTCAATCTTAAAAAAAAATTCCATACACTTCTTTATTAGCTTTCTTACTAATCATTTTGATAAAATATATTGTAATATCTTATAGCTAGTATAAGATAAATTTATTTAGAGGCAATTATTTTAATCTAATTTTTTTCTTAGTAGAGAAATTCTTATCGTTTTTTTTTTTTGAAAGGTGAGAAATTCATATCATCTAGTTTAATCGATCATTCCAATCAAATGATCCGTAGCTGCCTATATGTCTCAAGGTAATAAAAATTTATTGTTCTGACCAAGGTTCAGTCTCCGGTTTATATTTTGTTAACCAATCTTCCTTAATTCAAATCTTTGTTTAAATTTTTACATAATGATACCTAAAATATAACATCCCCACCTAAACTAACAAAGTAATTGTTGATAAAAATCCAAAATGAAATTACCACTCAACATTGAAAAACAAATTATTGTATAATTAATACTCAACATTAATTATAAATTCAAAATGGACTTGGTGAATTTCATTAACAAAATGAAAATTACCACAAATCCAACTTTTCACATTGAAAAACAAGTGTCTTAAAAATTATATTTAGGACAAGTAAATCCTAATTTTGAGAAGAAATTTTTTTTCCATTCAAGTCCAAAATGACTAAATCTTCCATTTATACCCTTACAAAATTAGATATACTCTAGACTAAAACTCTCATACATACTCTTAGACATAAAATTAAAATAAAGGGCTAAAATCATAAAATTCCCCTATTGTTTTAAAAAACTATCAACTAACCCCCTCAAAGTACGTACTAAAGAAACTATCATATTACCCCTTGTTGTTTTAAAAAGTCTATCATATCACCCCCTCCCTCTTAGTTTCCCATCTAAAACTAACGGGATCGTATTACGTGAAAATCACGTGCAACAGTTGCATCATTTTGCTGACCAAAATAACCTTGTAATTTGTAATGACAAAATTGTTATTCTCACAATATAATTTTTGGTTAATAAAATATTAATATACTATTAAGGGAATTATTATCATTTCGCAACAACTTAATGGTTCTGTCACGGAAATGGGGCAAAGTGATAGGTTTTACTAGTTCAAGGAGTTGTTTGATAATTGGGGGGTTTATATGATGTGTTTTGAAACAAGA